GACTAAGCAGTGGACAAATTTCAGCTGGTTTTACTAATTGCGCCTCTAAGCAAGTCACATCCCTCTTCTGTGCCTGCACTGTCATTATTGAAGAGAGATGATTCCAGTCACACTGTATGAGTTACAGGCTGAAAGCTGAAACGAGCAGCCCCTCAAGTCTCAGTAGACTCTTTTCCACTTCATGAAAGTCACCAGGATCAGAACACAGGCTCTCAGCGACCCAGTCCCTTCTCTCTAATGGTTCTGCGATACACCGGGGCCTTGAGTCTCGTTGGCAGAAGGCAGACAGAGAGCACCTCCAAGGGCTGGGATTGTGGACTGATTAAACCAGGGGGCCCCTGTGTATTTTCTGAAGTGCTAAAATACACAGCGATTTGAGGGGGTGTCAAAAGAAACAAATATAATCAGAATGTCCATCATCCTGTAGAAGAGACCCCTGAACTCATAAGGCTTAATTTCTCCACCTGTACATTCAGGAATGAGCAACAGTTGGGTTGCAGATTAGACACCCCCCACCCCAGTCTGGGCATATACGATCCCCAGTCCGGGAGTGTAGGGAAGCAACCAATAAACACTTCTCTCTCCCATGGATGTTTCTCTCTCCCCCTTCCTATCTTCCTAAAAGCAATGAAATAATGTCCTCAGGGAACGATAAAAAAAAATGAGCAACAATAAGTAAACAATCTCCTTTCTTTGCTTATTAGCTTGATCCACAATGGGTGTGCAATGGAAATATTTGTTTGGAGGGGAAAAAAAGGAGAAAGAATAAAAGAGAAGAAAGCCATCACTTCGAAGAGTCTAACTGTCAGGGGAGGCAGCAGCCTGAAGCGATCACTTGGTGGCAACCAGCCTCCCCGGGCGTAATTTATCACCACATGAAGATGTTGGGGAGTTAATCACAGCACTGACATGTGTAACAGCTCCACGCACTAGACTCAGCATAAAATTCATGCTTAGAAGATGAAAGTTATTAGGAGACCACACATTTGACATGCACCACTAACATGGGAGGGCAGTCATCAGAGGCACAAACACAAGCGTGGACCTCTTTTCATATCCAAGGTCAGCTGAACAGCACACCTGCCATCCCCAGAACCAGCTGGGTGAGCGGGTGGAAGGCGAAGGTGTCCAAGGCTGCTGCGTTGTCTGAACCAGAGAGGTGCCTCTGTCACTCCGTTCTGAGCATCTGCATGGCCTGCATGGCAGGCAGCAAGCACAGTTTGCACAGGCGCTGTGCCATGGGTGTTGGCATTTCAGGGACGACCTAGGATATGGCCAGCTTTGGCTTAGCAAGGGGTCCAGGCCAGGCCTGACTCACCCTGCTGCCTTCCTCCCAGCCAGTATCCCCTTTCTTACCCACTCCTTTGACCCAAGGACAATTCAACCTCGTCAAAGGGAATGTGTTTGGCAGCCTTCGCTTTTGGGTTCTCACCGGCTAGTTTTTACTCAAAAGAGTAGACAAATAAGTAGTTAGGAAAGAGCAATCAAACTGACCAGTCAGGCCGTTCCTGGACTAGTTCTAAATCTTCAGGGAGGGTTTAATGACAGTTCTAAGGAACTGAACCAAGTTCTTCCAGTTCAGAGAAGTAAGGATTGACACAGAAACAGCAGGGGATGATAGAAAACAATGTTTAGAATAAAAACCTCCTCATTGAAAATATACAAACAGTGACAAAAAATTTCCACATAATCATGGCAATTCTTCATTTCCTTTTGCAATATAATTCCTGGCAGAGTGTGCAGGAAATTGAACTACACCGTCCCAGTTTTTTAGAAGAATGATTTGTTTCCCAAATCTTCAACTTCTACTTCTGAAGGCTAAACTTAAGCTTCAGGAATGATGCACCAAAAGAGGGTCCAGTTGAAGCTCATTACATCTTTTTTTTAGTCTCGTGTCCTGGATTCTTATGTATGTCCATCTTCCTCAAACTATTGTGGGTGGGGGGGAATTAAAGAATAAAAAAAAAACAAACCTCCATCAATAACAAACCCAGTTTATCAATGACATGCTGAAACCTGTAATATCTACCATCTCAGATTACTATGCAATTATCTCAGCAGTGTGCCTCAACTATTTTATATTTAATATATTCTATCATGAAAAATTAACGACTACCGGTCCTAATTGCTTTCCATTTTAGGAACTTCAAATGGAAAGCGAAATAAACTGTGAAGACATTTTTATTAGGAGAAAGTGAAACAGGTGGCAGTGCCGACCTCCCCTTCCTTTTTTACTAACAATCACCTGACACGGTGGCGGTGATGCAACGCGGCCGCGGGGAGGCGGGGGCGGGACGCGCGCGCGGTTTCCTTTTTCTAGAGCGGACTTGTTTTCCGTGTGACAAGATCGTAGAATGTCCTCCTCCAAGGAACCGTAGGCAACAGAAACGGTCCCAGTGGCGATTAAGAGAGGACTGAGCAATGGACCAGGGGCCACCATTCTTCGTATGCTGCTTAACGATTGTGTTTTTGTTTCTGAATCCCTGACATTCATGAGGAAATAGTATAAACAATGGAGTGACATTGCTTTAATCTATACACAGGGTGCCTTGCACAAGTCAGTGTGAGTCGGGAGAGTTAATGTCTTGTCACTGAAACGTGGGACGCCCTCTTCGTTTACATTACTCATGTGTTACTGTGCCATTTGAGAATAACTGGAGAACCAGATGGATTCTTAGGTTTGTTCATCCATGAAATAAGACTCAAGGTCTCTGTGCCTACTTATCGTATAAAGAAAACGAGTTATTTACCCTGTGAGGAAATGCAATTTATTAAAATGCATGAACAGGTCACAAGGAAAGAGTTTGCTCTAAGAATTTAAGTTGCGTGAAGGCCCACGCAGTCTCACTCTGTGGTTTTAAAAAATGATGAAACAGTTATAATAACACCATAAATTTTCACAATTTTTTTAAGTTTTCAGTTCTGATTTCAGGAAATAGATTAGGAAGTGAACGATGAGTATACAGAAAATTGTTCCTTTCATAAAAGAAATCAAACTATAATTCAAAGAAAGAAGGTAGAGCAAATCGGCCTCTCTAAGAATTAATCACAGAGGTAATTCCTGGAGAACGCCTTTGCTCTCCTGACTTTCAAATCCCTCACACCCTGCATCAGCCTTTCGAAAGGGCTCACGGTGAAGGTGTCTAACGTGAGTGCGACACGGAAAAGGCACAGAGCTCAGTCTCGCCGTTCCCACAAGGCGGAGCTCCCGGGAGGAGGAGAACGACCCCGGCGGGTAGACAGACCGCCGACCCACGCTCTCCACCCCTCCCACGTGGTACTTGCGCACCACGTCTCCATAGCTGCAGGGCTCTGCCACCTGCGCGTGGAGAGGCTGCTGTCGCGTCTCCTTTTGCACCTGGGGCTGGCCCACCGAGCGCGGCCGACAGCCTGGGAACTGCCAACCAACCCCATTTATGGTGAGAGGATGACTTCGTTTCTTCCCCGCCCAAACCCGGCACCCAGCCGCTCATCCACCCAGCACGGCCGTAGCGCGCACGCTACTTCTAACTGGGGGACCCGCGCGCGCTCACCCACGCCCCGGCCGCTCCAGGTAGAGTCCTAAAGCAGTGGACCTCCCTTCGCAGCAACCAAATGTTGCGCCCCGCGGGTGGAAGTGCGAGACAGGGCCCACTCGGGGCGGGGAGGTCAGTTAGGGACGCTGGTTTCAGAGCTGGCTCCCTGAATGCCGAGTTCACAGGGGCGATGAGGATGAGAGCCCGGGAGTGTACGGGGGCTTCCCGCACTCCCGGCGCCCCGCGGCCGCTCGGCCCCGCGCCCAGCCCGCCCCTCCTGCCCCGCCTTGCAACCTCGCAGCGCGGAGGAGGAAGGACGCGCCCCGCCCCTGCCAGTGGGCGCCAATGGGCGCCCGGGCCGCACACCGTGTGTCCCCGCCTCCGCAGGGAAACTTGAAGCCAGAGAAAAGTTTGTACTGAGAGCGGCTGGAAGGGCGAGAGCGGAGCTCGAAACCCGGCGGCCCGAGGGGAAGAAGATGAGCAGTCCCAGATCGGAGCCTCAGGCCCAGCGGACATCCAGCGGCCCCCAGGAATCCAGACGCAGCCTCAGTTGCAGCCGCCAGCCCCAGTAGCCGCCGCGCTGCCCAGGACTGCGAAGGAGCCTGCCCGAGCGGCGGCGTCCGAGGCTCAGCGCCACCTGCGCGCGCGGCCACGCACCTGAAGGCTGACGGCCCGCGGACGGGACCCGCGGGCTCCACGAAGCTTGGATCTTCTTTGAAGGGACGGAAAAACAGAAAGACACCCAAGAGCAGACCTCCCCAACCCATACCCGCTGCCCTTCTAGTTGCCCCAGTTTTTGAAAGCTGGCCCCTCTGACCGCAGTTTCAGAAAACCGGCAGCCACCGAGACCTGGGGCTGAGAAGGCAAAGGCTTGACAAGCTCCCCATCGCGCGGACGAGGCTGAGGGCAGGTTGGAAGCGTGTCCAGCACATCTGAGGCTTGACGCTGGGGACTTAGGCGGCTGCCACCGCCGGGGCCACCGCAGGTGAGATGGGGTTGGGGGCCCCGGGCAGGGAGCAGGGGGCGGGCGCTCCGCGAGAGGAGCCGGGGAGGAGAGAGCGCGCTCTCCAAATTGTCTTTCATAACTTATTTGCAGTGAGACTATCATTGACTCAGAATCTGTCGGGAATTAGAACGAGCCACTTTTCCCTTGAGACAGGTCTTGTTCATCTTGGCAGTGGAGTGAAGTTGGGTTGGGGGGAGGATAGAATGGCAGTATCAACTTATAAATATTAATGCGAGTTGAGCGGCGCTGCCGGCAGGACGTTATCCGGCGCTTGGAGACTTTCGTAGCCGCAGTTGGCAAGCGGCTACAATTCACGAAGTGCGATCGAACTGCTCCCCTGGTCTCATCAGCACGTTGTTTCTTGGGCGCGGGTGTGACACTCTGCCAGTGGTAATTTCCGCTCACAGCGCCTGTGTCTTTCTTCTGCCGTCCTCAGACCCTGCCTCGCACTTCCAGGCCGCGCACCGCTGGCCAGCACCATGTCCGGCCCCGCGGCCAACGCGTCTTCCTCCGTGCTTACGAACAGCCCGAACAGCCCGGTGACCATCCCGGCGGTGATGTTCATCTTCGGGGTGGTGGGTAACCTGGTGGCCATCGTGGTGCTCTGCAAGTCGCGCAAGGAGCAGAAGGAGACGACCTTCTACACCCTGGTGTGCGGGCTGGCCGTCACCGACCTGCTGGGCACGTTGCTGGTGAGCCCGGTGACCATCGCCACGTACATGAAGGGCCAGTGGCCCGGCGGCCAGGCTCTGTGCGAGTACAGCACCTTCATCCTGCTCTTCTTCGGCCTGTCGGGCCTCAGCATCATCTGTGCCATGAGCATCGAGCGCTACCTGGCCATCAACCACGCCTACTTCTACAGCCACTACGTGGACAAGCGGCTGGCGGGCCTCACGCTCTTCGCCGTCTACGCGTCCAACGTGCTCTTCTGCGCGCTGCCCAACATGGGCCTGGGGAGCTCGCGGCTGCAGTACCCGCAAACCTGGTGCTTCATCGACTGGACCACCAACGTGACGGCGCACGCAGCCTTCTCCTACATGTACGCGGGCTTCAGCTCCTTCCTCATCCTCGCCACCGTGCTCTGCAACGTGCTGGTGTGCGGCGCGCTGCTCCGCATGCACCGCCAGTTCATGCGCCGCACCTCGCTGGGCACCGACCAGCACCACGCGGTCAGCGCCGCAGCAGCCTTCGCCTCGACCGCCTGCCGGGGCCACCCGGCCGCCGCCTCCCCCGTTCTGCCGCGCCTCAGCGACTTTCGCCGCCGCCGGAGCTTCCGCCGCATCGCGGGCGCCGAGATCCAGATGGTCATCTTACTCATCGCCACCTCCCTGGTGGTGCTCATCTGCTCCATCCCGCTCGTGGTGAGTGGCCCGGGGCTGCGGCCCCACTCGGCCCCCCTCCGTCCTCCGCCTCCCGCCCCTGCGCCCCTTGCTCTGGTTCCTTGGCGAGGTGTCTCCAGGAGTCAACGCCAGGCCGGGGCTGGGATCCCCACGCTCTGCCTCTCACAGCAGGCCTAGCCTCCTTTCAGGCCACATCCCTAACCAGATGCAGCAGGTGCTTCCCGAAAGCCTGATTTCTTTTCTCTCCTGGGACAGCCCCTGTCCCCTGCTGCCTGACATTGGCCGTGAGCCTTCCGGGAACCCCCGCCTCTGTGTCAGATGTGGAGAGGAAACCGTTATAGTGTGACTTAGCCCCATGCTCCGCCCTGTGAAACCCAGAACCCAAAACATCAGGGGTGCTGGTCCCTTAGATACACGCCAGTGGGGTTTGGGATGTTGTGATTTCTGTAGGGTTTGGGGTAGATTCCGTAAAATTTTAGAGCTAGAAGACTAGTGCTTGTGTAGTCCAGTCTGTCTCCCTCACTTTCCAGAGGAAGTGACCTGCTTAAAAGAATCTAGCTGAACTCCACTGCGGAGCTGGCTTCCCAGGTCTTTACCATGAGACGCCCGCGAGGGCATCTCTGTACACATGTGGGTTACCGCTCCTGCGCAGGGGATGGCCCAGACTTCATTCTCTGCGGGGTCAGGAAAGCAAGTTTCTCAGGGGGCCTGGTACAGGCAGGCTGGTGGACCTGGGCTAATGAATTTGAACGCTCAACAACTGTGAGAGGTACAGCGCCATTCTAGAGAAACGGTACTTTATTGGTGGTTGTCTTCTGTCTTGTCCGCCCGCACTTTGAAGCTGGTGATGAAGCTCTGGCCTCTCTGACTCCAAACCCTGCCCTTCCAGTGTGACATCATGCCTCCCTTCTAGGACGCTTCTAATTTTGGCCTTCGGGTGATGTGTGTGAGTTAAGGTTCACTTGGTTTTTAGAACGTCGCCTTCTTTAAAATTGCCTCTGGATTAACTTTTGAAATGTTATAAGCAGAGAAGTTGAAAACCGAGCTAGTTCTCCTCTGTTTTCCCCATCCTAAGAATGGGATGCACTGGAAACCAATGGGCAGGTGCATGTAATACTTTTCCTAGAGTCTCCCTTAAAAGCAACTACTTCTGAGTTTTCTCATCTCTCAGAACAGTGCATTCCTGGAAAATCTGAGCTATGAACTCAAGAAGAGATGACTTCTCTTTCTTATGCTGATTGGGAGCAAGAGAGAATAAATGTAATCGGTTCTTATTCCTTTCTTTGCCTTATGATACTGCCCAGAGATATCGAATATAAAAATATTATATCTCTAATAAAAGGAAAGAAGCTGGAGGTGGCTGAGAGTCCGCGTACAGTAGCTTCTTGCCAATTTATATAAACAGAGTGAATATAATTGGCCAGAGGGGCCTTTAAACCACTCTAGGATCCAATATAATGTAGAGACTTAAGTCACACTCGAGCCCCATAAATATATTTTACTGTGTGTAACGGCAACTGAGAATAAAGTGGGGTTTCGGAAGAGACCTCGCAGCTCCTGCTGGGGCTCCCTACTCTGGCCTCTGCCTCATGTTTTACAGCACCGTAAATGACAGGCTGAGTGCTTGTTATTTACAGAATACCCGCTGCAAGGAAGAGAGGAATTAGGCTAGAAGGTTAGCAACATGCACGTACTTTTTAAATGTATTTTGGTTGGCTGTAAACATGTGAAGCTATTGATTACTTCACAGTCACAGATGAATTCTTTTCTTCCAGCGTCTAGAGAGACATGAAATGCTTAATTCATCTTGTGGGCTGAAGGGCAGGTCTGGCTCTATGGTGCAGGGCCTTTGAAATTATTGGAGAAGCTAGAGGCAAGAAAGTGTAAGAGCTGTATCTGTGGATTGCAAGTTCACCACATTTTAAGTAGCGAATACTCTTCACTCTATAGAAAGTCATTACTGTGTAGTAGGTATTAAGTAATTTTACCCTGAAAACTGAAACAGGCTCAGTTAAGAAGTAAACACATAGTGAAGCTTTTCCATACCTTTGTAAGTAACATGGAATCATGCAAGTGATAATAGCTTCAGTTTTTAGTCTTTAGATTTGGCTACCAAATCTCATTTCAGAATCAATTTAATTGTAAATTAATGACATGCAATAATGACATGCATACTCCCCACCCACCCACCCACAGATCAGCAATTACTGAAAGAATTAAAAGGGAAACTTATCCACAACTATAATCTTTTTAGCTTCTATTTACAACTTTCTTGTTTTTTCATGTTACTGATATTTATACTGTAATTTAAGCTTAAACTTTCTGAACTCTGACTTTTCAAGCAGTTGGACCTATCTTCAGTTCCAAAAACACTAATGAAGCATCTTTTTTTTTTTTTTTAACTTTATCAAGTCAAGTTGGTTGCTAATCCTACTTGAGGAAAATCAAACCCTTCAGAACATTTAAAAAGTTTGGAAAGGCGAAGCGAGCTAATACAGTGTACTTGGAATTTCAGAAAGCTTGACACAGTCACTGGAAAGCAGCCAAGTTCTTGTCTTTCTGACACCAGGGAATAAGCAGCCCCGGTGGTTCTTGGAGAACAGTTGATAAAAAAAAAAGTCAATATTACTTTGTTATCCAAAATATGTACATCTCATAAATAGAGCCTGGATTGGAAACGAGAAAGGCTGGGCAACTAGTTATGGATCTAAGAAACTGTGCTGAACTTGCAAAATTTTCTAACGTGAGTCATAATCAACTAACAGGAGGTGTGAGTACAATCCACAAGCAACATTACATGACAAGATTTAGTGGGATAGTGCATCTGGTCAACCAGTTTGTTTTTGTTTTTTTTTGTTGGTGGTGTTGGTGTTGTTTACATACAGGAGAAGCTGAAACAATGAAAGAGTTTCCCCTTAAGATAAATAAGAGGCAGTGTATTCTTCAGAAATATGCAAGCCGGACAGCCTCGCAAGGTCCAGTGTTAAATGCTGTAGCTGAGATCGACACTGGAGCCTACGTTTGCCACTACTAGTGTTAAGTTAACAATTATAACCAAATTTCCGCCTCAGAACTAAACAGTTACACTATAGGATTTGGAAAGGCATCTCCCCCCGACACAAGCACTGCTGTGTTTATTGTTTACTTGTTTCTTTTATTTTCTTTCTTCTTACTTTGAAGTAACAAGTATTCAGCTCTGTTAGGGGTAAAATAGCCAATTTGATTAATCTTCTGCCTGAAACCTAGGTCTTTAGGAAAATAGCTTCCTGGGAGTGTTTTTGGTTGCTTACCATAAACTGTCTGCATAAAGCCCTTCCCAGCATTTGATTAGCAACAGTGCCTTAGGGCAGAGAAAACTGCAGAGATCCTTCTGTGTCCTGCGGGCAAAGTGGAAATGGAGTCATCAGACACCAGAAGGGGTTTCAGATGGGGGAAATTCACCTCTCTAGGTACAAGAGGGCCACAGATTTGGGTACCATTACAGCAGAACCTGAAGGACCTGATGGCTTTTCAAATATATGGCGCTGAGCTCTAAAAAACAGCAATTCCTGAAAGCAGTTTTTTAGCCATAACCTAACATTCCAGACCTCTTAGTGGTACCTTGAACACCGCGGAATAACATGAGTATTTCCACAACCAGCATGTCACTGAAAAAAAGCTCTGAGAAGAAAATAGGGCTGGCCAATATTTTCACTCTCTCTGCACCTCAGTTTCCTCAGCTGCAGATGAAGAATATGTATCATTGTGCAACTTACTGGGTGGCTGTGGGTGAGTCCTAGTCTGATGCTCTTTTCACCACAGACAGGTCGCTTCTTTGATGTGCTTGGAACAGAACAAGCAGGCACGCACAAGGCCAGCTGCAAGATCTTGTCCTTTATTGAAAAGCATTTCTACTTGGACAATTACTAAAAATCAGTTTCATCAAGTCTTCAGCATTCTTCTTCAATTAGACATTCCCTGCCAACCCGTTGTTTTTAAAGAGGAGCTATGTATTTTTGAGACCATGTCATTACTGTACCCAAATGCTACCTCTAAGCTGTAGTTTTCAAATTCTTGATACATTATTCCACAGCAACCAAGCTGCTACATATGGGTTACCTAAACAGGGACGACAGCCAACCAATACGTTATATGTTAGCCATTTTACTAGGCGCTTTTGTAATTTGTACATAAATTACAAGGAGCAGAGCCAGGATCTGAATACAGGTTTGTTTGATTCAAAAGCTAGGGCATTTGGCTCTACAGCAAACAGCCTCCTAGTAACTTTGTTGTCATCGCATCTTTTGTTAAGTTTATCATATTTTTCCTGCACCCTAACCTCTAGTCATCCTCAAGAAGTTGAGAATATAATATGCCAATATTAACAATAAACTACATGTGCAAATCTGCAGCTATTTAAAAAATAGACTCATTTTAAAAATAGCAAGAGATTATATATGTTGTTTGTATTCTGTGAATTTTTTTACGGTGTTTTCCCCACCCCCTGACTCAGAGGGTCCATTTTTATCAGTAGCACACGCTTCCAACACTGAAAGCTGTCTGAACATGTTTACTTGTGTAACCATATAGGGCCTGTTGGACAAGAATTCCAGAAAAGTGCCTGCCCACGTGAAAGTGCTGTGGATAGTCCCCTTTTAATCTGGGGGGTTCCCCCTTTGCGAAGAGCAAATCAAGTAGCCTTCACAGTGAGGCAGAGATTGCTGTACTTTCTTGAATGTTATGAAGAGCGTGGAGCTTGTGTTCATTTTTGTCTTTTTTTTTCTGTACATCAAATCAATCTCCATTGAGAACGTGTCGCAAAGCCTAACTCATTCGTCTTGATTCTTTTCAAATAATGTAACCAGCTTTTGAAAACTCTTTTACCTGAATTTGGAATGTTGCTTTTTCTGCTCATCTTTTTTGCCACCCTGTGAATTCCCCATTACTGAAATGATGGGAGGTGACCAGGCGCGGTGCCTTGTGTTAATTGTCAGCTCTCCCTCGCTCCCTCCTCTCCCACTATGAAATTCTAAAACAGGGCTTCCTTGGTTTCCTGCCCTTATCTGACTAAAAGCCGGGCATAAATTTCCCTTAGTGAAGGTGGCATACATTTTCCTCCCTCCCTCTCTCCCCAGGACCAGGATGAGGAAAGTGAACTTTATCACAGGAGACAGAGCCTGCACCAAGATGAGGCTGTACAAACCTTACTTAAAAGTAACAATAATAATAACAACAACAACAACAACAACAAGTCTTATCTTCCATTAGTTCCCCCATATGTTCTCCATTTACTGCCTCACATTTGACCTGCCTGGAAGCCCAAAACCTCTTTTCTTTATTAAGAAGGATATGTAAGTTTTTTTTAATTACTTTTTTGTGAACTCCTGTGCATGTAAAACAATATTAATAAATTTGTATTTTTCACCTGTCAAAATACATTAATTACGTTAAATAGGGCTTTCTTACATTTCCTTTCACAGCAGTCAAAATTAATTGCTGCTGTGGACAAAGTGAATCTCAGGAGTGATTCTTTCCTTGCCTGTCGTCACCCTGGATTATGAAAGCCCATTATTAATTCTTTCTACAACACTCTGACTTTTCTTAAAAAGTCCTAAAATTTAAAAATAAAATGCTATCCTTTAATACAGTCCTTTAAATAGCTTCAAATTTCATTTCTTTTATATCCATTTTAACTGTCCAAAAATGCTCTTCATTAGTAACCATGTTTTATCTGAGGCATTGGAGGGAGAAGCAACCAGCAGTAAAACATTTAAATGCTAAAAATATCAGAAATGCCAAGTTCAGGCTTAACCAAGATTCTGTTCTGAAAAGACGGAGTATTCGAGATGCCTGGGCGAAATGCTTCTTAGGAAGGTTCCGCGGGACCAGACAGTCGCAAGTGGAGCAACACTGCCCCCTGGAGGCTGCAGGTCTCAAGTTCTAGTAACCATGCCGTAGGTTTTTCCTTAGTCTATGAACACGGAGAGGGCCTGATTTGATCCCTCATTTCTTTTATCCTTAGGAACATAGTAGGTGATATGAGTAAAATACAAACCTCATGCTTTTTACCAATAATTCCATTGCCAGGAAAAAATTGTTAACCAGGAAGCTGGCCAGCCTGGTAGAACAGAAAGAGCAACGTGGGCATCATCTGGAGTGCGGGACCTTGATCGGTTCCTCAAAACCTCTAGGTCTCAGCAACATTTCATCTGAGAAGAGGCCCGTGGATCTAAGGGAGAAAAATCTCTCAGTGCCCAGACACAGCAGAGAGCCTCAGTCGGGGTGATGGGAGGAAGAAGCCAAGATGCCTCATTTAAGCCACACCTGGCCTATGGGCTTGTGGGCTGGCCCGCAGGCCCCTCGATTTAAACAGCTCAAACGGCACTCGAATGACGTGTCATCCCTGCTGGTGCGTCCGGAGTGCTCTTTTAGCTCCTGGCTGTTTACCAGCTCAAATGCTATCCCAGGCACAAAGGCAGGATTCTGACTGGAGTTGCAGGATGGAGTCACTGAGCTGAGCTGTTGCGCGAAACCACAGTTCACAAGCAGCTGGGAGCCATTGAGACAGCTGACCCACGTGATGAAATCTGCATTTTAGAAACCATCTTCCAGGAACAGTTTGGAGGACGGACTGGGGAGGAGAGCAGTTGGAGGTGGGGAGAGCTGGTTTTGTGGCTGACGCAATAATCCAGATGCGAAAGGCAGTTAGAGGGGAAAGACTGGAAGAGGTTTTCAAAGGAAGAGTTTGGTGTGGCTGGGGAACAGATTCATAGGAAAAATAAAAATTTCTCTGGTCATTCGGCATGATAGGAGACTCAGATGTTGGTTTAAAAGCTTTCATATTCTTTTTAGACACTAAAAGGAATCCCTGGGCCTGTGATGGCTCGATGGTTAGCTGACTTACAAAATGAGTTTTATTTAAATACGTAAGTGGCAGCTGGAATAAGGGAAATCAAAGTCTATTGATGGCTTCATTAGAGTTACCAAACCTTAAAAGCACTCACAGAAATGAAGCTAATAAAATGTTTCTAAGGGGAACTTTCCTGCGTATGTTACCTGTGCGCACATTGCATTTTCGTATGACATCTTTGATCTAGGAAAATATTCCTAAGATAGATACAAAGACATTTAAAGTTATACGAGCTTGAAGTGTGAGCATAATTTCACAGTTAGTGGTTTGTCTCAGGCTCATGCCGCTCTCTTTTTTGGGCGTGGGGGCACTTGCTGCCAGAAAAGAGGGCAGTCACCTCACTTAATTGCTAAATCAAACACTGCCCGCAAACGTGTTCGCAGTCGACCAAGAATAACATCTCACTTTGGGCATGTCATTTGTGCAGGTGCGCGTGTTCATCAACCAGCTGTACCAGCCGAAGCTAGTGCGGGAAATCAGCAAGAACCCGGACCTGCAGGCCATCCGGATCGCCGCTGTGAACCCCATCCTGGACCCCTGGATATACATCCTCCTGCGGAAGACAGTGCTCAGCAAAGCCATGGAGAAGATCAAATGCCTCTTCTGCCGCATCGGAGGCTCCCGCCGAGACCTCCCGGGCCCGCACTGCTCCGACAGCCGCCGGACGTCCTCGGCCGTGTCGAGCCACTCGCGCTCCTTCCTTTCCCGGGAGCTGCGGGACGTCAGCAGCACGTCGCAGACCCTCCTTTACCTGCCAGACCTCAGCGACAATGGTCTGGCCGGCGGGAGCCTGCTGCCAGGCGTGCCCAGCGTGAGCCTACCCCACGCCCAGGCAGACGCCACCTCCCTGAGGACTTTGCGGGTCTCAGAGACGTCGGACTCCTCGCAGGGGCAGGACTCAGAGAGTGTCTTACTGGTGGACGAGGTTGCGGGCAGCGCGGGGCCCGCCCCGAAGGGCAGCGCCCTGCAAGTCCCATTCCCCAATGAAACACTGAACTTATCAGAAAAGTGTATATAGTAGCTAAGGAAAGCAAGGCCGCACTCTTTCTGGAAGCTTCTAAAATCCAATCCTGTGCAATAGACACATAGTGAAGTGTTTTAGCTGTGCTCCGAAGGGCTATTTTCATCCCGTGACTCACACGAAAGAGCATCTGGTTTTTGAGTACTTTTCAAACAATCAAGTTGATTCGCGTGGCTCCTGTGGGCTGAAACACGTCGGTCGCCACCTCTCCAGGGTGGGTTTCGGTCACTACTTGCTTGCCGAGATCTGCCCTTAGTTTTCTACTTGACAAGAAGATGGCAACAACTTCAGGAGCTTTATACCTGGCCCACAGCAGCAGGCCAGGTGTGGAGGGGCTTCAGTCCGGTGAACTAGGCGGACTGTCTTAGGGGCGATTTCAGTGTCTCACTAAAGCATGAAATGTGAATTTTATTGTTGTAAATATGATTTAAGGTATTTAAAGTATTTTCTTCTCTGTGAGAAGGTTTATTGTTCATACAAGGTATAATAAAATTATGCTAACCCTCTCATCCCAGTATAACTAGCTGAAGCTATAGATGTTATGGTGGGGGTTTTTTTTCATAAACAAGTTCAGGCCAAGGTGTTGAAAATTCACAGTGAAACTCACTATAAGAGGAAGATATATTTTTTAAAAGAATGAGTTTAGTACTGTTAAAGGACTAAAGAAAAATATTATTTAAGACATGAAAATTACAGTCCAAAATGTTAAAGTTTGCTCCCATGCTACATACAATGCATAGTGCAAAACGTTTAGTGCTGACTCCCTGTGTTTATCCAGAAAACTCATTTCTGGAGAACCTAACATGCTGGCCAACATTTTCTACTTCTGTGCCCACAAACTGGTACTTTTTAAAATGTAACAAATTTTAAAAAGTCCTTAATAAATAACCCATTGTGGAAATGTACAATATAAAAGAGCCCAAGCAGCTGTTTTCTGCTGAAATTGTGCATAGTCTTTACTTTCCTAAGAGATGACCTAGAATATCCTTGAAAATTTCAGAGGAAGACAGGCTTGCATGCACCCTATCGACCTTTACTTAGAGATGTAAAAGGAGTGGTTAAATGAGCCATTCCCCGATGTCAGACAAATCTAGTAAGACGAGGGGTGCAAAACGTGGGCACATAGGGTCTCCTTCCAACAGTCCTGTGTCATGTCCCCGATGCTGTACACGTATGTGAAGGACACCTTCCCAAAGAAATATTAAGCATGTTTTGTTGCTTAAAAGTGTGTTTGTGAATTGCCTGGTTGTAATTAAATTCTGAGCCTGATAGTGCTATGGTTTAAAGAAGCAGTTGTACCAACTGAAACTATTTTGGAGATTATAACAAATAAATACACTCAATCTGAGTTCCGTATCCTCGGTTTTGGAGAATGGTGTGATTTCTGTTGGTTTCAGGTTATCTTCTGTATAGTTTTCAACTGGAATATTTAAAAGAATTATTTTGAAATAATGTGAAATTTAGAGAAAAGTGGCAGGAATAGTACAGAGCCTTGGATCTACTTAGTGGAGAATGGTACTTAGAAACCAAAATCTAGGTGCAAGGCAAACTCAAAATCACGGGTCTATATGGGTAGAGGGAGAGAGAGTATTACTTCCTGCTTGTAAATCCTCTAGACCAGTGGTTCTCACACTTTAGCATCTATCAGTCACCTGGAGAGTTTGAAAACACCAAGTTTCTGACTCAGTAGACCTGGGGGAGGAGGTGGGCACATGTCTAAAAAATCCCTGGATGGTGCTGATGGCCAGCGTGAGACACTCTCCGGGGAGCAATCATCTCCTGGAGCGAGGTCATCATTTGCTACTGGCAGGTTTTCTAATTTATTTTTGCATGATGTCAGAAAAACAGGACCATCATTTTCACAGACCGGATATCACAGTGATTTTCAGCTGAGGCAAGGATAGCTCAGAAAGGGAGCATCTGGCTCACACTTCTAAAATGTCCTATTTCACCCACAGAAATAGTTCTCACCAATTTATACCAACCAATGTCTCAGACATGATGTTTTCAGAGAATATTTTACTTGTGGAAGAGGCTTCCCCCCTGTGTACACAAACAATGAAACAACACCTAGATTTATATATAAATGAATATATATACATATATATTAATCACCCGTGTTCATCACCCATGTGCACGGAGGCGCAACAAAAGCCTCATTCACAAGTCAGCATTACTAATATAACCTCAGGGTGTAAAGCCACTCATCCTTCACTTCAGGTTCACCATCCAGAACACTGGTTCTGGCTTATTCTTTTTCATTAAAATATAATTCACGCATTTTAAAATTTGCCTTGTATTTTAATATGCTCACAGAGTGCAACCATCATCACTGCTACCTAATTGCAGAATATATCCACTGTCCCCAAAACAAACCACATACCCATTTGCATTCCCTCCCTATTCTCTGCCCCCAGGCCCTGGCAACCACTGTATGGATCTGCCTATTCTGGACATTAATAGAATCGTACAATATATTACGTATGTGGCCTTACCTGTCTGGCTTCTTCCACTTAGCATGTTTTCAGGGTTCATCCATATTGTAGCATGAGTCAGTACTTCATTCCTTTTTGATGGCTGAATAATAGTTCATTGTATGGATATACCACCTTTGTTTATCCATGCATCTCTTGATGGGCATTTGGGTTGTTTCCACTTTTTGGCTATGATTACTAATGCTCATAGCAGCATTTGTGTACAAGTTTTGTGTAAACATGTTTTCAATTCTATATATCTGGAGTGATATTGCTGGGTCATATGGTACCTCTATGTTTAATTTTTTGAGGACCTGCCAAACTATTTTTTCCTAGTGGCTGCACCATTTTACATTCCCACCAGCCAAATACAAGGATTCCAGTTTCTCTGTGTCTTTATCAATACCTCTTATTGTCCACATTTCTGATTATAGCTATCCTAATGACATGAAGTGGTCAACAAAGTTTTGATTTGCTAATTTGCTAGTAACTAATGATGTTAAGAAGCTTTTCACAGGCTTATTGGCCAGGAAAAACATCTATTCAAATCATTTTAATTGGGTTATATGTCTGCATTAGTTTGCTAGGGCTGCCAGAGCAAAATACCACAGACTGAGCAACTTCAATAGAAATTTATTTTCTTACATTTTTGGAAGCTGTAGGTCCAAGATCAAGGTGCTGGCAGATTTGATTCCTGGTAAGTGCTCTCTTTCTGGCCTGCACATGGCTACCTTTCTGCTGTATCATCACATGGCCTTCTCTCTGTGCACATGCGTCCCTAGCGTCTCTCTTCTTATAAAGACACTAGTCATATTGGATAAGGGCCCACCTTTATTGTAACATGACCTAGAACATCCTTGATCATTTAAAGATAATTCAGCCTTGTCATTTAGCCTTAATTCTCTCTCTAATGGCCCTATCTCCGAATAGTCACAATGGAAGTTAGAGAGTCACCGTATGAATGGGGGTGGGTCATAATTCAGTCCATAACAATGTCTTTATCATTGGTTCTGGATTTTTTTCATACTTTTTTTTTTTTAAGAGTTTGGAGAACATCTGTTTTTGAATTTTTTTTACTGATTTTTTGAGAGAGAGAGAGAGAGGAACATTGATTTGTTGTTCCACGTATCTATGCATTCACCATCTGCTTCTTCCATATGCCCTGACTGGGGATTGAACCTACAACCTTGGTGTACCAAGATGGCACTCCAACCAACTAAGCCACCCAGCCAGGGAAGGCCTGGCTTATTCTTAAAAGAATAGCCAAAGAAGAAAAACTCCAATATTATTTGCCATCCACATTTATTCTTCATTCCACATTTATCCATAAGGCTTACCAGATGCATTATGCAAAGATAGTTTTTTGTGGGAAACTTGTTCAGGACCATATAAAGCTTCATATTTTCTATGCAGGGAAGTTCTGATTATCTAACTGGCTGGCATTAAATCTTACCTTATCCCAATAGGATATAACAGACCAGTTACTTTAACACCATCTCATAATCTTTAAGATGATCTAAATAACCAGGTCAAATATTTTAGAAAATATGTTAAGGTACTCTGGCCATAAGACCATGGAATGCAAGAGTCCCTTCCCAAAACACAGCCACCTCTCTCCAAAAGTTTCTTACTGGAGCCACAAATAGAAAAAATCATGGAAAAATCAAGGCAAATTTGTATTTACTAATAGCTGTGCCTTGGGCCATAAACCTTAACACAGAAATATTCATTTTCCCTAAATTACTTGTACTAACTTCAAGCAAAATAAGCCATGAAGTTTGCTCTCTTCCACCACTCCCTCCACCACTAAACCCAAGACTAAGATGTTGCAAGTTATCTCATTATTGCTCTCAAGGTACACCAGAAATGGAACTGGACAAAAAGAGGCTTGTAATAAGAGAGAACATCTGACCCTCACAGGCTACAAAGTCAACATACAAAAGTTGATTGTATTTCTATGTAATAGTATCAAATCGGAAAATAAGATTTTAAAAGCACTCCCAATAATAGCATCAAAAACATGAAATATTCAGGGATAAACTTAAAAACATGGGCAAGACCTATCCACAGAGAGCTAAACATTATAAAATGAGACCTAAAACAATGACAGTTATGCCGTGATCATGGATTCAAAGGCATAACATTGTTAAGATGGCAACTCTACCCAAACCAATTTATAGTCAACACAATGACAATCAAAATGCAGGCAGACTTGCATGTAAATAGAGACAAGCTGATTCTAAAAGGTGTATGGAAAAGCAAACAGACTAGAAAAGCAAAACAAGTGTTTTGGGGGAGGGAGATGGAGAAAGGGACAACGTTGGAAAAATCACACTGATTTTTAAAACAAATTTTAAACTAGTAATCAAGACAGTGTGTTACTGGAATAAGAATAGACATATAGATCAGTTTAACAGAACACAGAGCTCAGGCAAACCTTCAATACATGGTGAACTGATTTTCAACAAAGATGCCAAGGTATTTCAACAGGAAAGGACAGTTTTTCAATGGACAGTGCTCAAATAACTGGACATAAAACAAATATTCAACCTTCACCTCATATGATACATAAAATGAACATGAAATGGATCACACACCTAACTATAAAAGCTAACACTGTAAAACTTCTAGCAGAAACTCTTCTGATACTGAAGTAAGCACAGACTTCTCAGCCCACAGAAAGTACAACCATAAAAGAAAAAAATACAAAACGTAGACTTCCTCAACATTAAGACCTTCTGTTCTTCAAAAGGTGTCAACTAAGAGAACAAAAAGGCAAGCCACAGGTAGGGACAAAATATGTACAATATATATATATATCTCATAAAGAATTTTTATCCAGAATATAGAAGAAAATTCTTACAGCTCAATAAAATGGTAACTCAAAAATTGGGCAACATATTTTAACAGGCACTTTTCAAAAGAAGATACAAATGTCAAATAAGCATATGAAAAGATGCTCAACATCAATCATCAGAGAAATGCATATTAAAATCACAAGATAGCACTACTCATCCACTAAAGTGACTCAAATTAAAAACAATGATAATACCAAGCATGGATAAGGAGGTAGAGCAACTGACACTTTTTACTACGTTGCTGGGAAGAATGCACACTGGACAAGTTCCAGTTTCCTCTGAAGCTGCACATATACTCAACATAGACTCCGCAATTCTGCCCCCCGGTGTGTACCCAGGAGAAATGAAAACACACATCTACACATGGACCTGTGACATATATATATAGCAGCTTTATTTATAATAGATCAAAACTTAAGATATTCACCAACAATCCAGATGTCCATCGACAATATGAAAAGCTACAAATGGTGGTATATCATGCAACAGACTACTACTCAGCAATAAAAAGGAACATATTACACACACACACAATAGCATGGATCAATCTCAACATAGATGGATTTCAAAAGTATTACACTGAGCAAAAATGTCAGACACAGAGTACACAACTGCATCTGAAAATCTAGAAAAGTCAAATCTAACTTACAGCCCCAGGAGGCAGAGGAGTGCTGGCTGGTGGGCGGAGAGGAATGGCTGCAAGTGGGCGTAAGAGGACTGTCTGGGTGATGGAAACATTCAGATTAAAAATAGCCTATAGCCCCACTGGTGACAGCGATTGCATAGGTGCTCACATTTGTCTAAACGCCTCAAACTGGACATGTATAATAGGCATTTTATTACATGTAAATTACACCTGCAGAGAGTTAACACTGGGCACAGAGAGCATCAGGGCTTGTCTCCCGTTCTTCCCTTCCCCTTAAACCTATGG